AATTTAGATTTCGCTTGCTCTAAACCTGCCGGAATCGGATTCGTGATTATTTCGCATCGGAATTTAGTTCCGAGCGGAATCAAGATCTCGTAATACGGCCTAACTGACTTTCACGGATTTATGACGTCTCGAGAGCTTCATTTCGATCGGAATCAGATTCCGTTAAGCTGGTAATAGGGCCCCAGGGATAGAACGCGGTGTCGTAACCTATGAGTCATGATGATTAAAAAGTTTAATTTAGAATAACAATAAAATAAAATTCTAAAATTATTTTGGTGCACATTATTTCTCAAAGCAATTCCATTTTGAGAACGCTCTACGCGCTTAATTATTTTTTCAAATTCAAAAAATATTTTTCTTAAAATATGCATTAGGTAACACACACACGCAATTTTTAAGAAAGAAAGGTCATTTTTTAATAATTAAATAATTTAAAAAAAATAGTGAAAAATAAAGGGGAATAATTAAAAAAAGGTGTTAATATTAGTAAATGGTGTTAATATTAGTAAAAAGTATTAATATCAATAAATTAAATAACTAAAAAGGTGTTTTTTTTAAAAAATTATTGAGAAATGTTTTGTAGCTAATTTAAAAAAAGTAAGCAAACTCGATATGTTTTTGAAAATAGAGGCATAGCTAAAAATTTATTTAAGACAGTTTTTAATAATTAAATAATTTAAAAAAATTAATTAAAAATAAAGGGGAATAATTAAAAGAGGTGTTAGTATAAATATAGGTGTTAATGTTAGTAACAGGTGTTAATATTAATAAATTGAATAATTATGAAGAAGTGTTATTTTATTTATTTATTTATTTTTTTTAAAAAAAATCATTGAGAATCTTTTTGTTGCGCGTTTAAAAAAAGTGAGCAAAACTTGATATGCGTTTGAAAATACAGACATAGCTAAAAATTTGTACTGAATTAAATAGACATAGCTTAAATTGCTTATTTCTATGGTGACTAGCTACTTCAAAAAGCTGAAAAACTAAAGGCAAAATACCTATAAAAACATGAGAAAACTGACTTTTTTACTCTTTTTTAAAAAAAAAAATATATCGCTGTAATAGAATCCCTGGGAAGGATCTCTCTTCTAAGAATATTAATTAAGGTAAAACAATTTTCAATATTCGTACAGAAGTTTTACTACCAATTTTTTAGTTTCTTGAGGATGTCAGCTTAATATTCCGAAATGGGCCTTGAATTTGATATTCATTTTTTTGAGCTTACGCTTACGTAATTTATTAAAGTTGGTCATAACAATAATACCCATTTACCATTTTAAGTGACCAATTAAAGCAGAATTAAAGTTGTCCTTTAAATTTTTTTGATAAAACAAAAAAAAAATTATTTATTGAATAAACAAAAAATGGTTATCAAATGCATTGATTTGTTATCAAAATATATTTCTTAGTATAATGAAATTCTTATTTTAATTAATATATGCCAATATTTATTCTCCGTAAGCCCATCAAGATTCCCGCAAAAAATATCATATGCATAAACTTATTCAAATATTATATACCAATACATATTTATATCATTACCAATGCATAGTTATATAAGATCTGTAATAAAGTTCGTATGCAAGATGCTCAATAAAGACCGTATCTGCTTTCTTAATTTTTTGAACGGCTTCAACTAGGATTTTAAAAATAGCGTCAGGATATAGTAAAGTGGTTATGCTCTACAAGATCAGTTTACGTAAAACTGTTATCTGGTCGTAATCGTACAAATGGCGTACCTATCTTCTTAACGCATCGGCAGCGGGAAATAGGACGAAGTGAATTATTAAGTTATAGTCCATAACTGATTCATTATCAATAAACGGTATAGTAGACCTTAACTATAGAGACACGGCTGGAAAGATGGAAAAATGAGAGAACCAAAATAGCACCTTTAAAGTTTTGTTCAGTAATTGAAAAATTAACTAACTGAAAGTATCGAGTATATCAGACTTTTCATTATTTGATCCAATTTAAGTCCAAGTTAAGTAATCATTTGTGTGTCAGTCTTATAGGAACGCATACATAAAGCTTAATACATATAATGATGGGAAGGTCCACTGTTCTCCCTAAGTTATTTTGATTGTTCCCTCTGTCCGGTTTACACTGTCGTAAGCAGTTTTGAAATCCACAAATAGGTGGTGGGTACCAATTCCAAATTCCCTGGTTTTTTCCAGAATCTGTCTTATGCAAAATATTTGGTCAGTTGTAGACCTGCCCTTCCTAAAACCGCATTGGTATTCACCAATGATGTTTTCTACATAGGGGCTAAGTCTGTTAAATAGAATTTTTGAAAAGACTTTATATGCAGTGCAGAGCAGGCTGATACCCCGGTAGTTAGAACATTCAAGAATGTCTCCTTTTTGTGTATAAGACAAACAGTGCTGTGTTTCTATTCTTCAGGGAGTATTTCTTTTTCCCATACTGATGTTAGAATATTATGTATGGCCTTTAACCCATCTGGTCCTGAGTTTTTGATGAATACTGGTGATATCAAATCTGGGCCAGGAGCCTTGTTTGAACTGCTTCTTCAACCTCAATCATTGAAAGAGGTGCAATACACTCTTGGTTAACGTTTGGTGAGCAGGACTCTGTCTGAACGCACTCTACATTAAGTAGGTTGTCGAAGTGTTCATTCCACCTATTAAGAATGTCAGTTTTATCGCTTAAAATATCTCCATCTTTATTTCAGCAAAGGTTAGTTCTAGGTTTGAACTCCTGGCGATCAAAGTTAATGCCACGAAAGAAAGCTCTTCTCTCATTAGACCCTCGGAGATGTTTGACATCCTTAAAGAAGTCTTCGTGAAAAACCTTTTTCTTCAACCTATGAACTTTCTTTTCTTCTCTTCTTGCAATTTTGTATTTCTCTACTGATGTTCTCGAGTGTTTTTTACTGAGCATCATATTATATGCATCGTTTTTTCTTTGGGTCGCGTTGCGACATTCTGTATCAAACCAATCCTTTTTCTCAGCTCTTCTTATTTTGCTTATTACATTATCACATGTGTCCAATAGGGCTTCTTTGAAAGAAGTCCACTTTCCATCTATGCAATCAATATTTTTGATTGCTTTTTCATCAAGCTTCATAGTTAGTTGTGACTGAAAGTCATCCCTGACTCTAGGGGTCTTTAATTGTTCGCAGTCAAATTTCTCAAGACGTTTCCCATGACATTTACGTGCATTGGATAGTTTGGCCTTGATCCTATTCATTACCATGTAATGGTCTGAGTCAAAGTTTGCCCCACGATAGGTTCTAATGTCTTGTATGTCCGTCACATGTCTCGAGTCCATCAATATATGGTCAATCTGGTTGGAGGTATCTCCATCTGGTGATCTCCAGGTCATTAGGTGAATTCTCTTGTGTTGGAAAAAGGTGCTGGCTATGACCATGCTATGCTCTGCAGCGAAGTGAATGATCCTCTGTCCATTGTCATTTGTTGTTTCGTGCAGGCTGTATTTTCCAATAGTGGGTCTGTGCTCAGCTTCCTTTCCAATTTTAGCATTTAAGTCACCCAGAATAATTTTGATGTCGTTTTGTGGACAGGAGTTATATAAAGAATGCAGGTTCTCATAGAAAAGTTCTTTCTCGTCTTCATCCTTGTCTTCAGTAGGTGCGTGGGCATTTATAAGACTGTAATTAACGAATTTTCCTCTTAGCCTAATTTTACATAACCTTGAAGACTTTGGCACGAAATCCATGACAAGATGCCGAATGTGTTTGCCCACAACAAAACCCGTTTCAAAAATATGCCTTTTCTTATCACAGCTATAGAAGATTGTGTGATTTCACTTCTCGATTATTCCATCGCTAAGCCACCTCATCTCTTGCAGAGCCATTACATCAGCCCTGTAATTATCCAGCTGCTCCGTTAAGAGTTGCAGTCCTTTGCTTTTATACAAAGAGCGAATGTTCCATGTTCCAATTCTCAGTTCCATGTAAGATTTGCCAGGTCGTCTTCTAAATTTCGGTCCGGATTCACTGACTTGAGACTTCGCAACAAGATTTTTTTACAGGGTAGGGTTGTTAGCCCTACGCCCAACCCCCAACCTGGAGGACCAGTCCCCTGATATAATCCCCTGGGGCAGGGTACCCGGCTATACCCCCGGACACTGGATGCCCATTTTAGTCGCCTTCTACGACACGCATGAGCTACGTTGGGACTAGATTCTTACCCCCCCCGGTCACCACACGGGGCGGAATATTTTTTTTGCCGCGTGTAGTTGTGAAAACCCAACAGACGATTTTTCTTTATTTGATTATACTATTGACGGTATTCCCGATTCCCCCGCTAATAAATTCATTTTGTATGGCGCAAAATCTATTCCTGAATTTAAGGATAAATTGCGTATTTGTGAAAAAATAGTTAATGACGGAAGCAAAAAATCTTTTTTTCCGTACAAATCCTCGCTTTCCCCCTGAATTTCCCAAACGTGAGCGTAGTAATTTAGTATGTGACAATGTACGAGGATATGATTTTCAAAATGATATTAAGTTTGATAAACAGAAAACTTATCATAATTGTAATGTGACTGAACATATTTCACGTTTGTGTCTTGATAAAAAACGAGGTTTGAAATGTAATTTATGTAAAAAAATTTGACATATTGCTTCTAAGTGTAATAATAAACATATTAACCAAACTGAGTCATGTTTATGATTCATCTTGTTGGCNTTATCGCCCTCTAGCGGTCTCAGTTTTAATTTTCGGACACAAGTTCCTATGTAAATCTTGTTCATCATGATATGACAGACCAGCATGTTAAGTTTGTAAACGACCTTTTGGGACACCCTGTATATTAGAAGGAGGTAACCGTTAAACCCTTCGAACATGTATTAAAACTACGCCACTGACTGCAGCCATTTGCGAGTTCAAAGAACGGTTACAGAGTTTAGTAGGTCCCCTTTACTTTACTTGATAAAAATAATAAAACATTTCATCAGAGAGCTCTTCAGAATTTATTACAATAAACGTTTTTTATTTACAGATTATCTGAGGGAAAAGGGTTTGGAAGAATCTTTAAAAATGTTCTGGTGGAACAGTAAATCATTTGCTCTACCAAGTTTAGAACAAAAAATCAAAGACTTAGCAACAACTGAAAAAAACAACTTCGAATTTTTCAAAGGATTACTTCTAGCAATGATTTCGGGAGTATTGTACTCCTGTACAACTGTAGTAGTCAAATACGTCGATAATTTAGATCCTGGACAATTGTGCCTTTATCGTCATATTGCAATTTTCACTTTAAATCTTCCAGAAGTTATCAAATGTCGCCAAGGAATCTTTTTGCCAAAAGATTTCCGTGTGCTACTAATAATCAGAAGTATATGTTCGGCAACGAATATATTAGTCAGTTATCATGCATTTCGCAGCTTACCACTTTCAGAAGCGAATGTGATTTTATTCAGCATTCCTGCCTTTGTGACCGTGGCAGCGAGGATTTTCCTAAAGGAACCATGTGGAATATTCCAATCGATACCTGTGCTCTTCACTGTAATTGGCTTAATTTTTACTGCCAAAATACCCAGTTACTTTTCTGGCCCACCTATTGTTCATTCAAAGGAATACATACAGGGTCTTATATTTGCTTTCTCGGGAATCATCTTTAATACAGCTCAAATAATACTCTTAAGAAAAACAAAAGAAGTCCACCATGCAACTGTCGTATCCAATTTAGGTATCATAGCCATCATTGAACTAACTTCTGTTACTGCGATCTTTGGTGATTTCAAGTGGAATGTGTGTGGATGGCAGAATCTGTACATAATTATTCTCGGAATATTTAGTTACTTATCTCAAGCATTGATGATCAGAGCTTTCCAGTGCGAATTTGCTGGCCCAGTCTCCACTGTCAGGGCTGGGTCAGATATAGGATTGTCCTTTATATGGCAGACATTTTTGTTTAAAGTGATTCCAGACGCTTTTAGCATCATAGGAGCTTTGTTAGTTATGGTATCCATATTTTTGGTTGGAATTAGGAACTGGGTGTCCAGCCTACCGAATGATTCTCCAAAATTGAAGCACTTAAAATGGATATTGAAGTAAATTTCGAGAAACTTGGTGCTTAATACTTCTCTGGCTCACCTATTGTTCATTCAAAGGTTTACATAATGTTGCTCAAATTTACTACAACTTTAGTGTGGTGCTACCATGATAGTTTAAGTTAAATGTAACTTTAATAATGTGTTACATTGACCAATGTTTAGGTTCAAGTTATACTGTATCGTGAAATCAAGTTTAAGAAGGATTAAACCATTTAATATTACAATTTACTCGTTAGATAATGTCATACTAAAATTACACTTATCAATACTATTAGAGATTTTGTTGCGTACTGAACCATAATGTTGCTCAAATTTACTACTTCCATAATATGGTGCCGGGTTACACCATATAATTGCAATTCTTAATGATTTCCCAATGATAGAATGCTTAGGGCCATGATACAGTGCAAGTTAACTGCAACTTCAATAATGCATTATTGATTGATTGTTTTCGTTCAAGTTATATTATTGTATCACGTGATCAAGTTTAAGAAAGATTAAACTCTTTATATTATAATTCAGATACGGTCTCAGCAAATTTGCAACATATTGTGGTTCAAATTACTAATGGCTCAACTTTGAATCAATTTTTCTAACTGTGTAATATAGTTACATTAAGCATATTCCTAATAAAATCGGCATGCATCTGTGAATGTTATGAAATATGCAAAATAAATTAAAACTATCTTTTGGTGGAAATTCTATGATTAATGTAGGATGGAAATTGTAATAACATTAGAAAAAAATTCAAGTTCTAACAATATTACATCATGTATATTTTTATTTCTATTTATATGAATAAAATAAATCAACATATACCGTAAACCGGGGCGAGTCTACCCATTTTTTCAGTTTGCCAACTTTCAAGTGGTCAAACTTTTGTAAATATTAAAGAAAAAAGGCTTTTAATAGGTGTTTCGGAATCGCTATTTATCCCTCTTTAAAGCTGTGAAATCGATTTTAGAAAATATTAACAGTTACGCTGTTACTGTATATTTTTATAGAACTGCTGACAAATCTCTCGTATGGGGCGAGTCTACCCATTCTACTAAAATGAATGTTAACATTGTAAATAATCAAATTTTACTATTAAATTGTTATTTTAGTTACTATATAGGATATTTATGAAGTAAAATTC